GAATTAAACTTAGAGTGATCATATCTAGGGTATTGGACCAAAAGCACCTGGAGCAGTGGCTGGGTCTCCCTACACACACAATAAGCACTTATAAATGGATAAAGGAAAGCAGAAATCCAAATTTCTGCTTGAATGGGCGGCTTCTCCCCATAGGCAATTTTCCATCAAAAAATGCTGCAGAGCTCAGTCAGTCCAGCTAATTATCCCTGCAGTCTATAATCCTTGACAGCCTTCTTCCCCATTCCCCACCATAAGCCCAGAAAACACTGAATTGCAATGGTGGTTTCAAGTTGCATAAATGTAGCCTGCCCAACTTTTTTTCTCTTCACAGAACATCCAGTTTTTTAGCAGGATGTCCTAGAAAACCTTGCCAATAATAAACATTAAATACATACACTTTTCTCCAAGAGCACATAAAGTCTCCTCATATATTCTAACATTAATAACTTTATTTTGTACTTTATTAAGTACAAAACAAAGACATTTTCTGATGTACACAAAGACAAAAGGGCAATCTGTCAAATTTTCAGTCTAATGGAGGAATTTCAAAAACCTTTCTTGAAAATTTATACATCAAGCAGATGAAAGAAATTATGAGTGAGGATATAGGTTTGAATAAATGCATCAAGTCTCATATAATCATTAATGAAAAGTAAATAATACTTACTATTTTCAAGTATATGTGGGACATTTATAAAAATCGACCATATGGTCTGCAAATATGGAGCTGGTAAGCCTCATCGTCTTGTAACTGCATTTACAAAAAACCACACTTGTTCCACTAAATATACCCACCAGACAAGTGCTAACATAAACAGATGTTTCACTTAAGAACATTTCAGCTCTAAGTACATATATGACAGTAACTGTTGTGATTTAAGTAATGATTTATGTTAATTATGAAGCTATTGACATTTAGATTATAATTTGTATAAATTGTGTGGCTGTTACCATTTGATCTGTACCTTTTGTGAATTTTGTAGCTATTCCATTTGAACTCCTAAGTGATTCTGGTTAAATAGTGTGTGCATGGAAGTAAAATTGTAGAGTTCTATGATTAGTAAACTTACAGGACCCTCAATCCTACATTAGTATATGATACTTTAAAAATACTCATTTATTTGATATGAAAAAAAAGAAATATTTCTAATTCTCCTCTTCCTTCTATGGAGGGTGGACCCTGGTAACTAAAGGGTTTTTGACTTGCTGAGCACAAAGTGGTAGCATTGGTAGAATAACCTTTTACTTACTGAAGATTAAATTACTCTGAATAAGAAATGGCCTGAGCCCAGGGGAGATACCCAGGAGCTAAAGGTGGTTACTCAGAGCTGGAGAGCTTAAAAGGCTCCTCCTGGAAAAGATCAAGGAAAAATAAAAATGGCCAAAGTCCAAAGCAAAACGAGAACATCTCGTGCCAAAATCAATGTGTGGCAAGGCTGAGCTAAACCATAATAACCCACTCCCCTACATTTTTGGACTGTATAAAAGCCAGGAAGGCAGAAGGGGGAGGTTTTGATGACCCTGTAGAGATGGGAGATGAGGTTGTAAGCCTGTATGAAGCTTAGAGCTGGATCTGAGTATCTTACATAAAGTCCTGTTGTTGTTGTTGTTGTTGTTAGCATTGATGTCAAGTAGTAGAACATAAAGTCCTTATAGAAGGACTGCCTTTGAATGAGGACTAAAAATATTACCACCCACTGGACTCAAAGGGAGCAAAAAATCTAGCTGTCTCCCCTGGGCCACAGATGGGAAAAAAATAATCATCTTTGAGAAACTTGGGCCCCTACCTGAATTCACATTATATGACAAAGAGGCACCAAGCTTATAAACTGACATAAAACTGTTTTAGAATTGGTGAAACTGCCTGTGAAAGTGTTTCCAAAACTTAGGACTCCCACAAAGGAAAAGCTGAAGACGAAACTACAATCAAAAACTATAAACCATATGGGAAAATGGACCACTATGTCAGAGAATCAGCAAAAACACAAGTTGCACTCCAATAATTAGACATAATAGAATCAAATGGAACACAAGAACAGGAAAATTTAAAAAAGAATGAAATGCAGATTTTAGAAATAAAACATAATCAATAGATGGATTAAATAATAAACTAGATACAGCTGAAGCGGGAACTAGTGAATTAGAAGAAAAGAAGATTGGAGGATATTACCTAGGATGAAAAAAAGAGTTAAACAGAAAATATTCAAGAACAATGAAGAAATGTGTTTGATAAAATGTCAAACTTCCCATATAGCTAAAAGGAACCCAAGTAATTAGAATAAGTAAGAGAAAGGCAATATTCCAAGAGATAATAACAACTTTCCAGGGTATATGAGTACTCATGCTGAATATGCAAAATAAGTCCTGAACAGGACAAGAGTAAAATTGCAAAGTGCCTCAAAGACAAGCTTTTTCCTACCTAAAGCTACCAAAGATAAGATCTATTTTCTAAAGGACTGCCTAATACACTAAAAGATTTCTCAACAATAAAGGCCCAAATAAAATGAAATAATTATTCAAACTATTGAGGAAAACTGTCAACCAAGAATTCTTCACCAACTAACAAAATCTTATTCATGAGTAAGCACAAAATAAACACATTTTCTAACATACACAAAGACAGAAGGGTGGACTGTCAACTTCTCAGTCTAATGGAAGAATTTTAAATCCTTTCTTGAAAAATTGATACATGAAGTAGACAAAAGAAATTAAGAATATAGATGATATGAATAAATGCATCAAGCCTGACATAGCATTAATGAAAAAATGATATTCTTTTCAAGTACATGTGGGGCATTTATAAAAATTGACATGTACTAGACCACAAAGAATATTGCCACAAATTTCAAAGAATCAGTATCATACCAGTCACATTTTTTACTATAATGAACTGTAACTAATAAAAATTCACACACAAAATGGTTGGGAACTATAAAAATAAGAAATTTTTTTAAAAAATTAACATTCATATAAATAATTTCTAAGTTAAAAATCATCATGGAAATTATAGACTATTAAGTAAGGTACAACAAAAGTACTATCAATTAAATTTTGTGGGATGCAGTTACAACATTACTTAGAAGGAAACTATAGCCTTTAAATACATTTTTGGGAAATAAGAATAAAAAGTAATAAGCTAGTTGTTCAGTTCAAGTAGAAAAAAATAAATATAGGAAATAATAGAAATGAATGCTAGTGAAAAACTGGGCACATGTTCTCAAGATCTCCTGAGGGCTATGTCATGGAAAAAAATAAACTATGAACAAGAGCCAGTTGTTTGACAAAGTAAAAATAGATCTCTGGTGAGAAACAAGCACAATTACCTGATGCCAGTACATATGAAGACTTAGACCAAATTGGATCATTTCAGTGAAAAATACCAATACTGTGGGGGAAATGGGGTTGAATGGCAGTGATCTAGTGGCAGACACTGCTTAGGGACACCTGCTTTTTCCCCAGTGAAAATGTGACCTTGCTGGTGCTGCATTTGGCTTTAGAAGCAGAAGGTCCAGAGAGCTGTATAATTTATAGTAAGGGCGTGGACTATTTATGTTCCTCCTTTGAAGTAATGATAAAGGTGATCAAAAGTGACTACCTCATACAGCCAGTGTAACCTACAGATATGAACTGTGTTCAGCATTCTGGAGGCCTAGAAGCTGGGCTGAAATGAGCTGAATCTGCTCCTGCTGTGTGGCTGCCTGGCTTCCACCAAGTTCCTGATTCCTTAGCAAAGTAAAAGGATGCAGCAAGAGATGGGAAGGGCAGGCAGGGAGGGTGGCTCAGCTGTCTTAAGTGTGGTCTCTTCCTGCCACCTACCAAATGTTGCAGCGACCAAAATGGAATCAAGAATAGAAAACCTGAATACAGTACAATGCTCATTAAAGAAACTGAATCTGTAATCAAAGATCTCCCCTCAAAAAAGGCCCCAGGCCCAGAGGGTTTTTCAGATGAGTTTTATCAAACATAATATATTATATATAAGCTGTTTCAAAGAACAGAATGAGGGAAAACTATCCTACTCATTTTATAAAGCTAGTGAAACCTTGATGCCAACATTTAATATGGACCGTATTTTTAAAATATAGGCCCATCTCAAGTATATAAAATCAAAAATCCTAAATAAAATGGCAGTAATCAAATGCCTAAAAGCAAGGACTTTTAAAAACACATCATGTTTCTGCAATCAGCTTCAGAGTAATCTAGGAGGGGATTATTTTGGGATGTGGGATGTAATTGGGGCATACATACAAGACTAATCATAGGTGAAAAATACTGAAGCCAACCCAGTGTGGTGGCTCATGCCTATAATGCCAGCACTTTGGGAGGCTGAGGTGGGTGGATCACCTGAGGTCAGGAGTTTAAGACCAGCCTGACCAACATGGAGAAACCCTATCTCTACTAAAAATACAAAACTAATGAGCCAGGCATGGTGGCACATGCCTGTAACCCCAGCTACTCAGGAGGCTGAGGCAGAAGAATCACTAGAACCTAAGAGGCAGAGGGTGCAATGGCCTGAGATCGCACCACTGCACCCCAGCCTGGGCAACAAGAATGAAACTCTGTTTCAAACAAAAAAAAATTGCTGAAGCTGGGTTTTTGGAATACAGAGGTTTGCTATGTACAGTTTTGTCTGCTTTTCAGTGTGTTTAAAATTTTCAATAATAGATTTTTGGTTCTGTTTTTCAATGCATTATTGCCAGTAATCAAGATTTACACCAGGAAGGAGGAATTTACTTAGGAGGATTTCTTTGTGAAACACTGTAGCATGTGCTATGTAAATTTCCTCTGTCTTCTCTTCAGCAAAAATATAAATTTCTTAAAATACTTTTATGTGAAGGGAGTTTTGTTCTTTGGAGAGTTTAAAGAATAGGACCAGGAGACAGCTGACATAAGGGTTTATGTGAATATCTCTCTTCGTATGAGATCAGAGCTACCTAAAGAATACATGCAGGAAGTCACATTGTGTCTGGATTTTTGGTTTTGATCTTTTTTTTTTTCAGGACCGGATTCCATGGCTCTGTAACTTGCATGACATTTTACTAAGGTAAGAGACCACTGGACCTTGGCATAAGCCAAAGCCAGCAAGTTAAGAAAACCCTCAGAAAAGACAGGGAAAAAAATACTCTCCTGAAATCACAACTGACTGATGGTAAAGGATTCCAGAAACTGAGTTCACTTCTATCAAGTAACCACAATGATTTCAACCAGCCACAGGCAGCTGGAGTTTAGTCAGGCTCTGGAGACAAACCTTCTAGACAGCTCCACAGTTACTAGCTAGCAATCTTGATCAGCCACTTGGTTTCCATGAGGCTGTTTCTTCAGTAAAATGGGAATTAACATAGTTCCTACTGACTATTGTAAGGAGTGAGTTGGTGTTGGCAACAGAACAGTATCTAATACATAGGAACTGCTCAAAAAATGTCCACTGATGCCACTTCTGTTACTGCCTACCACAGTCATCAGTTTTTCTTCTCTTTGCTTCAAGCTATGACAACCAGGAAGGCCTGAGGTCACTTGTGAGTGAACAGGTAATTAGTTGCCAAGATTGGAGTCCACGTTGCCCAGCTCTGCAGCATGCCCCTGAGCCAAAAGGGTCCCCCCAACCCCACCCATCTGTGGGCCTGACCCCAGTGGAAATCTTGGTTGGGACATGGAGCAGGATAAGGAAAAGGCAGGGATTTATAGATCTTGCTTTCTAAGATGAAGTCATATTTTATCCATCTAAAACCATCTTGGCCATATGAAGTTAGAATATACTTAAATGGTTAAAAATTCAGTTTGCTTTTTTTCACACCCTGTTGTGGCTGGCAGCCCTGTCTTTGCATAGGCAGAGTTTTGATTTATGGGTTTACAGTTTAGGGTTTCAAGGTTTGAAAATATCTGCCTACCTGGGTCTCTAACATAATAAACTCATGAGAGTCTATTTTTACAGTACTGTCATTTTATAGTCTTAAAAGGGAGTATAGCTTCATTTTTATATTTGCTAGCCATTTATTGGCTGGAAAAAAAAAAAAAGCAGGAGAGGCCCCTTCCTTTAGAACTTTCATCCTGAAGAGAACTTTATGCTGGATCCCCAGGCCAGAATTTATGCACCACCTCCTAACTCTAGAGTCCTGTCCTGGCCCCAGGATGACTGCCTCCCACACCCAGCAGCCGATTGGAAGCCGTGGCTCACTCTCCGGTGTGGTCTCTGGCACACTGGTTTCCCCTTATTGGTGCTGTGTCACACTGCCTGTTTCTGGCTCGAGTTTTTTCCTTAGTGCATCCCTAGAAACCTCTCATATGCTGCTCACTTCGCCCACAGAGGGGCTGATGCTCCCTTCTCTCCTGCTTTTCCCAGCTCTACACCTCTCCCCCAGACAGTGTGTAGGAATAGGGAGAAGCCCATTGTAGAATGTAGATCTGTCAACATCCTGCAGAGACCTGAGCCTGGCTGTTTGCATGGCACAGGGGCGTTACCGGTAGCCCTGTGTCCACACACTGAGATGTAGCAACATGTTGCATCCATCGAAGCAGAACCAACACTTCCTGAGCATATCTGTATATCAGAGATCTCGAACAGTGTTTTCCTTACAACAGCTCTATGGGCAGGTAGCCCCACTTAACAGATGATGAGGAACTGGTGCTCAGAGAGGTCAAGGCCTTTGCCCAAGATTGTTCACTTTACTAGCAGAAGAGCTTCAACTCGATGGTCGGACTGCCTGATGCTTAACCACCGTTTTCTAATGCCTTCCACTGGCAGGAATTAGAACTGGAACCTGCACTTAGAATTGACAGAGGTTATTTTAAATGTCTTCATTCTTTTGCCTCCCCCCTTTTTTTTTTCTAAAACAGAGATGTAGCCTTGGGACAGCATGTGGTTCTAGCCTGTTCAGCCCTGAAGAAAATGTACAGAGACATATTAACACAAGGAAAAGATGGTGCAGCTCCAAAGTGCAAGGAGTTGGGAAGGGAAGCAAAGGGGGCTAAGATACAGCTCCTGGTGGTCCATCTGAGTGGGTCATTTGAGGTCATCTCTGAACGCTTACTCAAAAGAAAGGGACATTTTATGCCCCCTGAATTATTGCAGTCCCAGTTCGAGACTCTAGAGCCCCCAGCAGCTCCAGAAAAGTTTATCCAAGTAAGTGTGAACAAAAATGTTTCTGAGATAATTGCTACAATTACGGAAACCCTAAAAATGAAGTGAGAATGATTTTCTATCAGTGGTCCAGACAGAATTAAGTATACATCCTTGTGCCATCCAAAACCTCATTCCAGCCTCCTTGCCCATATTACATTCTAAATTTTTCTTAAGGCAAACCAAACCCAATGTGTCAAGACAGATTTGTTTGGGTGTAATTTTAGGAATTATCCTGGTTCATCGGGAAGCAGAGGGGGAGTTTTAAAAGTCAAGCTTAAATTGAAGTTTAAGTTCATCTGTAACCCAATTGAATGATCAGAGCAAATTCTATAATTGATGCCGAAAATCATTACATTGTTTAGAATATTCTTGCTCATGCCTATATTTGCACGAATAAATGAAACTTGGATGTCCTTGGCCTCCCCTGGAAATTGGTGTTGGGAGTATAATTATGTATGTAATCCACCCACCATCCAGCACACCACACAACTCCGAATTCTCTCTGTCCTGGAGCAGCGGTTCAGAGTAGTGGCTCTTAAGCTAAGGTCTCAAAAGATTGTCATGGGAGAACAAGCAAACTTTGTTCAGTTCCTTAAACAGCATAATGCAAATATATTTACCAGCAGCTCAACTGCTTCTAGCCCTCCAGAGGCCAACAAAGCCACTGGTTCTCAGTGAGGCGGGCACCTCCTCCAAGGGCTGTTTTTAAAACTTGTAGGGATTATGGTGGCTCATGCCTGTAATCCTAGCACTTTGGGAGGTCAAAGCAGGAGGATCACTTGAGCCCAGAAGCTCAAGACCAGCCTGGGCAACAAAGTGAGACCACACCTCTGCAGAAAATCAAAAATACTAGCTGCGTGTGATTGGTGCACACCTGTAGTCCCAGCTATTTTGGAGGCTGAAGCAGGATTGCTTGAACCTGGGATGTTGTGGATGCAGTGAGTCATGACCATACCACTTCACTCCAGCCTGGGTGACAAAGCAAGGCTGTCTCAAAAACAAATTTGCAGGGATGTTTTTAGTGGTCACAATGATGGCAACAAAAGGGGTGGAGGTGGAGGTATTGCATTGAATGGGCAAGGGCAAAGCTGCCAGACTTCATGCAATACATGGGGAGTTCACACACACAAATAGCTGAATTTTAAGCTGGGTGAGGTGGCATACACCTACAATCCCAGCTACGCAGGAGGACGGCTTAAGCCCTGGAGTTCAAGGCCAGCCTAGGCAACAGAGCAAGACCCTGTCACTAAAAAAAAAAACAAAAAAAAACAAAAAAACCTTGATTTTCAAATATTCTCCTGCTAGATATTCATATAGGACTAAATGAAAAACTTGTTTATAACTATAGAAGTACAGAATCTATTCCATGCATTGAAAAAATAATTTTTGCAGTTTTAATATACATTGAAATTTCCAAGAATGCAACAATCTTGTAAATAAAAGGACAGCTGTATTCCATTTTATTTATTTATTTAAAATGAGACAAGAGTTTCACTCTTGTCGCCCATGCTGGAGTGCAGTGGTGCGATCTCAGCTCACTGCAATTTCCACCTCCCAGGTTCAAGTAATTCTCCTGCCTCAGCCTCCTGAGTAGCTAGGATTACAAGCGCCCGCCACCACGCCTGCCTACTTTTGGAATTGATTCGGGGTTTCACCATGTTGGCCAGGCTGGTCTCCAACTTCTGACCTCAGGTGATCCACCCAACTTGGCCTCCCAAAGTGCTGGGATTAAGCCACTGTGCTGGCCCCATTTTATTTTCTAACTTTACCATTAATTGTTAACCACCTTAGAAAATCATGATGTGTTTGTCACTGACACAACATACCCACATGCACTTGCATTCTTTCAGTGATGACCCCCTAATAGGCACAAGCATAATGACTCCATCATGTTCATTTAGTGTAGTCGTGCTCAAGCAGTACACACTGAAAGTTTATTCATAATTTCCCTTTATGTGTCGTTTACATTAGAGCTGAAGCATTACATTTACTATTTGCTTAAGTACGTATTATTAGCAATTAATCTCACTTGTGATAGTAAAGGGGGCATTAGAAAATAGTTGTTAAAAAGGAGGTGTTAAAAAGGAGTCTGGTGGGTGAAGAGCACTGCTCTGATATTCCCAAACATTCCCAGGGAGGCTGAGGTGTGGACTGGTACTGCCCTCTGGTGGCCGGGGTGGGAGGGACACAGCAAGCAAAAAGAAAACTGGGAAGAAGCCAGATGGTTTGCAGTGGTTCAAAATGGATGGAGGCATAAGATTCCCCCAGCCCTGTCAATACCACTTACCTTCTCCTCTACCAGGATTCTCCACCACCCCAACCTCCAGTTTCCATCCCCACCATCAGAGGAATTTCAGATGAAACATTTTTCTCTCCTGTAAAATTAGGGTATCACCTGCCTCCTAGAATGAAGTCTTTTGGCTCTGATAGCTTAGCCCCACCAGGGTCTGTCTTTCCATCCCTGAAGCATAGGATGACCCAGAAATCAGCTTAGCAGCTGGCTCTGGAATAAGGATCCAAAAAAACCTGGGCCCAAGGCACAGCACTGGCATAAACTCTCTGGGAGACGTAGGTAAGGCAGCCCTGGGGGATGTCACTAGATGCTGCCAAAGTCCAGTGCTCACATCCTGTGCCTGTCTAGAGTCTGATGAGCAAACTATTTTCCAGTGGATGGAGTGCAAGAACCAGGAAGAAATAAAAACAAGCTGACTTTAATTAAAGCAAAGACACCATCCACCAGGGATTTTAATTTTCTGAAACTGTAAAATGCAAGTTTATTATCCTTTCACTGAACAGCACATCTGTTCATTCAAAGATATATTCAAGATCAGGGTATTGGCCAGCAATTACCAAGGAATTAAAATCTGATTAGACATTCAGCCAGTAAGCTGTGTTGAGCATCAGCGTATGGAGCTGTTTCAGCCTAGCTTCACAAAATCTCATGTGTGAAATGGGAGCTGGTGCTGATTTCCCGATGATCTTCATTTCCTCCAGCAGTTTACCCCCCAGCAACCTACCCTGGATGCTGTGTAAATTGAACTCCACTTTGTGGGAGGTTGAAGTCACTGGTCATCACTTAAGAGGACCCCGGACCTGATGTTGAGTTATCTAACACATACCCTTTATCAGGGACCCAATCAGATGGTGCTGAAGGAAATGTCCTCAACCCATGACAGTCCATGGCAAGACGCAAATTTGAATGCACAAAGAAAGTGACCAACACTAGTGGGATATGAGAGACTGTGAAGACTGTGAAGACCGTGACAAAATTAAAAATGCAAGCTCTATCTGAATAGGGCAACCACTGTGCAGCTCCAGACCAGATAATTCAGGAACACAATCCACACCGAACAAGTTGGGTTAACTGCTCACTGTATAAGGGAGCACACCTCCAAAAACTGTGCAAAAGACTCAGCCAGATGTCAGAAAGGATTTAAGATTTGGATGAATGTTGGGTAGGGTTCAAGGAAGCAGGGGTCTCTAAATAGATGCTGTCAGGAAGTGGGGGATAACTAGTTATCTTAAGAAAATAGGCCGGGCACAGTGGCTCACACCTGATCACAAGATCAAGAGATTGAGACCATCCTGGCCAACATGGTAAACCCCATCTCTACTAAAAACACAAAAATTAGCTGGACGTGGTGGCATGAGCCTGTAGTCAGTCCCAGCTACTCGGGAGGCCGAGGCAGGAGACTCGCTTGAATCAGGGAGGCAGAGGTTGCAGTGAGCCAAAATCACACCACTGCACTCCAGCCTGGAGACAGAGCAAGATTCCATCTCAAAAAAATAAAAATAAAAAAAAATTAAGTGAGAAGGAAGTGAAGCTACAGCTATATCTGGTTAAGCAGCACATTAACCAAGGCAGGGAGATGTTTGGTCATTTTTGCAATTGTGATGACACGACTAAAGAAATGTTCCTTTGTTTTGACCCACCATGGCTGCAGAGCAGGCTTGTATTGATGTAGGTGTCCTGTGAAATTGTGTTTGCTTGGAAGGACATGGAGGCCTAGCTTTTAATACCAGGCTAGCATCTGGATGACAAGAACTACCTTTTTTTCCTCACTTGCAGATATCATTGTCACTGTCACTAAGATCTTTTAGGTCTCAATTTGAAAATTTGAAACACATTACCCTTTTTTTTTTGAGATGGAGTTTTACTCTCGTTGCCCAGGCTGAAGTGCAATGGCACAATCTTGGCTCACCACAACCTCCACCTCCCAGGTTCAAGGGATTCTCCTGCCTCAGCCTCTTGAGTGAGTAGCTGGGATTACAGGCATACGTCACCACGCCCAGCTAATTTTGTATTTTTAGTAGAGCTGGGGTTTCTCCATGTTGGTCAGGCTGGTCTTGAAACCCAGCCTCAGGTGAACCACCAGCCTAGGGCTCCCAAAGTGCTGGGATTACAGACGTGAGCTACTGGGCCCAACCAAGACACATTATCTTTATAATGACAAAGAGCTCAGATGCGAGGGCTTAACTTCCCTTCTCAAAAAATTAGAATTTGGTAGGTTTTCCACCTAAGGGCCAGGTTGTAGTAGTTGACTTCTACCCCAAGGGCGGATGGTCATGGGGCATGGACTAGTGGATTGACGTCCCAGTACATATACCACTTCCCGTTCCACTGCCTCTTGTGGTTAACCTATGCGGAACTGAAGACCTTGAGAAATTACCCCATCTCACCCAAGTCCAGCCAACATATTTGTCTATGGAGTACCCAAGGCCTATGTAAAAATGTCTGTCCTTGCTTTAGCATGTATCAGTACTTCATTCCTTTTTGTTGCTGAATAATATTCCACTGCATGGATACACCACATTTAAAAAAACTTCACCAGTTCATGGATTCTGAGGTTGTTTCCACATTGTGATTTTACGAATAATGCTGCCATGAACATTGATTCATGTGTATGTTTTTCTGGGGATATATTGCTTTCATTTTAGGGGGGTATAAACATACCAGTTAAATTACTGGGTCAAATGCTAACTTTGCAGTTAAATCTTTTGAGAAACTGCTTGTCTTCCAAGTAGCTGCCCCATTTTACATTCCCATCAGCAATGTAAGAAGGTTCTGATTTCTCCACATTCATCAACACTTGTTTCTGGTCTGTCTTCATGATTACAGCCATCCCAGTGAGTGTGAAGTGGTATCTCCTTAATATTTTGATTTGTATTTCCCTAGTGATGAACAGCATCTTTTCACATGCTTATTGGTAATTTGTTCATCTTCCTTGGAGACATGCCTATTCACATTCTTCATATTTTAAAAACTGCCTTTATTGTTGAGCTGCAAAAGTTATCAGATATATTACTTGCAAATGTTATCTTGCATTCTGTGAGTTGGACCGTCTTTGTACTTTATCATTTCCTTTGAAGCAAAAAAACTTCTAAGTTTGATGAAGTCTAATTTACCTATTTCTCATTGGTTGTGATTTTGGTGTTCTATCTAAAAAAAACACTGCCTTACCCAAGGTCATAAAGATTTACACTGATGTTTTCTTCCAAGAGATTTTTGTAGCTTTAGCTCATGTCTTGGCTCCATTCTGTTTTACTTTTTGAATAAGAATATGCATTTTATCAAGGTCCCAGGTGATTTGTATGCACAACTGGAGCTGAAAAACACTGCCTTGAGGGAAGAGACCTCTTGGTCCTGTCTCTTGTCTCAGCGGAGGAGGAAGTAAAAGTTGAAAAGTAGCAGGCATGAGGTCAGTGGTAAGGTCTGCTGGCGCTGCTGATCAGGCCTGGAGGTTAAAGATGAAACCCCCCACCCTTAATCCCACTCCTATCTATAGATCGCAAGAATAATATGAAGAAATGCCCTCCATTGTTCTCAATCTTGCTCAAACCCCCACCTGGTCACATGCCTCACACCTGATCATGACCCTCTCACGTGTACTTTCTAGAATTGTAAGCCTTTAAAAGGGCTAGGATTTTGTCTGGGAGCAAGGTTCTTGAGACTCAGGCCTGGAGATGTTCTCGGTCAAATAAAGCCACTTCCTTCTTTAAATCTGGTGTCCAGGAGGTTTCCTTTGCAGCTTGTCCTGCTACACCTAAGTCATACCCTGGCAGCACATTACAATCACTTCAAGAGTTCTGCTGATGAACATTTTCTGTAGCCCTCAACTAATTCTTAAATTTAATGGGGATGTCCACAGAGCTGTCACTTGCCTCACTGTCTAATCACTGTTTTACATCTTTGTTTTTAACATCATTCATACATTTTTTCCATATGGATTTCACCCACATGCTTTTGTTAGGCTGGTTTGTACCCACTGCTTATATGTTATGCTGACACTTCCAATAGTACTACATTAAGATTGAGATCAGCATTCACAGTGCACACAGTACATGAGTATAAAGTAGGTTTAGTGTCTGTGGATATGACACAAATCACACCTTCATTAAGACTAGGGGATGGAAGTCATACTGGGTGGTAGTGTATGAAGGTGGAAAAGTGATAGGAATGAGAAGAGGAGGCATAAAACTTCAATAACCAGATCTCAGTTGGTCAAGAGCATGGTCTAAAATCAGCAACATTTCAACATCTAGTTATCATGTTCTCTTCAAGGCATTATTTGTCCTTGGTTTTTGCTTTTATTATTTTCTTAAAGGAAGAGGGGTGGGAATGGGAAAAACATTCTGGTCTTCCATTTGCGAATCTAGGACCACAAAACCAGTTACAAATTGGGACTCTTGCCATAAACAAAAATATAACTCCGATTTATCAGTGACCCAAATAGAAGAACTAAAACCAAAAAACTCTTAGAAGAAAATATAGGGGGAAATGTTCATGACCTTAGATTTAGCAATGAATTTTTTGTGGGTTTTTTTTTTGGTGGGGGGCGGGGGGAGAGGCAGAGTTTCACTCTTGATACCCAGGGCTGGAGTACAATGTTGTAATCTTGGCTCACTGCAACCTCTGCCTCCCAGGTTCAAGCAATTCTCCTGCCTCAGGCTCCCGAGTAGCTGGGATTACAGGCACATACCACCATGCCCAGCTAATTTTGTATTTTTAGTAGAAACGTGGTTTCACCATGTTGGCCAGTCTGATCTTAAACCTCTGACCTCAAGTGATCCACCTGCCTTGGCCTCCCAAAATGCTGGGAGTACAGGCATGAGCCACCGTGCCCAGCCTAGCAATGTATTCTTAGCTGCAACACCAAAAGCACAAGCAGCAAAAGAAAAACAGAAAAAGACATTTCTCCAAAGGTTTACAAATGGCCAATAACATATGAAGAGATGCTCAACATCATTAAGTCATTATGGGAATGCATATCAAAACCACAATGAGGCCTGGTACGGGGTTCACACTTATAATTCCAGCACTTTGGGAGGCCAAGGCAGCCTCCCCTTGATCACCTGAGGTCAGGAGTTCAAGACCAGCCTGACCAACATGGTGAAACCAAGTCTCTACTAAAAACACAAAAATTACCTGGGTGTGGTGGCACACGCGTGTAGTCCCAACTACTCAGGAGGCTGAGGTAGGAGAATCACTTGAACCTGGAAGGCAGAGGTTGCAGTGAGCCGAGATCACACCACTGTACTCCAGCACCAGCAACAGACAAGACTCCTCTCAACGAAAATAGAAGAAAACAAACCCACAGTGAGTTCTACTTCATACCTACCATGATGGGAGTAATTAAAAAGGAAAAAACAAAAAACAAAAAACTTAAAAACAGGGGCAGGAGGTAGAAGAGGAATTAAGTGTTGACAAGGATGTGGAGAAACTGGAACCCATACACCACTAGTGGGAATGTAAAATGGTGTGGCCACTATGGAAAACAGTTCAGCAGTTCCTCAAAAAGTTAACAATGGAATCACCATTATAACCCGGCAATTCCACTCCTACATTTATCCCCAAAAGAACTTGTGAAAGGAAAAGAAATCTTAGGGCCCCAAAATTACTAAGCTCTAAGCTAAAGAGAAAAGTCAAACAGGGGAGCTGCTTAGGGCAAACCTGCCTCCCATTCTATTCAAAGTCAACCCTCTGGGTCACTGAGATAAATGCATATCTGATTGCCTTTGGAAAGGCTAATCAGACACTCAAAAGAATACAACCATTTGTCTCTCACCTCCTTGTGACCTGGAAGCCTCTTCCCTGCTTGAGTTGTCCCACCTTTCTGGACGGAACCAATATACATCTTACATGTAATGACTGATGTCTCGTGTCTCCCTAAAATGGATAAAACGAAGATGTGCCCCAACCACCTTGGGCACATGTCAGGACCTCCTGAGGTTGTGTCACGGACATGCATCCTCAACCCTGGCAAAATAGCTCTCAACTGAGAACTGTCTCAGATTTTTGGGGTTCACAAACTGAAAACAGAAACTCAAACTTGTAGGCCAAAATTCTTTGCAACATTGTTCACAACAGACAAATGATAAAAAGTATACATCAACAGATGAATAAAATGTGGCATAAACATACAGTGGATTATTCAGCCATAAAAAGGAATGAGATTACATGGTACAAAATGGATGCACCTTGAAAACATGTCAAAGAAGCCAGACACAAAAGGCCACATATTGAATGATTCCAGCTATAGAAAATATCCACTGAATTGTACCCTTTA